CCCCTGCTATATATATATATATATATATATATATATATAATTGTAAGTATCTTATATAGTACAAAAATCGGGGAGCTTTCAAGTGACGTGAAGCTGTTTTAATCTACATTTGACCATGATAAGGCATCAAGTGAGAAAACTCCCCCAATGGCACTTTAATATTGCTCAATTTAAATGGAAAATAATACTTTTCATAAATAAAATAAAAGTTTTGATCTTACTTGGAAACTTCCATCAAACCAAAATAAATAAATTAATAATAACATTATTTTTTATTAAAAAATTACATTCGCGCCACACAATTATTTTATAATAATTTATATATCTACACCTAAGGCTTTATATTTAAATTTATAACACTTTGGTGACCTAAGCATATGCATGAGTATGTGTTGTTAAAAATCATTTTAGGATGTAGGATCTCGTACAGTTCCTAAATTCATACAATATGAGAAAGACCTTATAAGGCGAGTGAAGAAAGTAGAAAGAAGTAAAGAATTTTAGGTTATCTCTTCTTGATGCTCTCCTCTCTTTTCTTCATAACACTCTTAAAATTCTTTTCCATGAAGAGCTACAAAAAAAAAGGAATAGAAAAAATAATAGATTCTATGACCTATGCGAAGGCTGTTGAGAATCGTCGGTGATGAGCTAGGTATCGCCATAGGTGTCAGACGGCTGATAAATGGGCATAAACAATGATGTGTATTAGTTTGTTTACTCCTGTCGTGCAAGCAACCATGAAGACTTATTTAACGAACTTGTTGGTGTAGCTCTGCAGGCGAGCTTGACAGGAGAACTCGCAGGAATATCGTTGAGTTTTGTGGAGAACTCACATGCATATCAGCGAACTGGGTGGCGAAGCTCGCCAAATCCTTCTCCGATAAAAGTCCTACAGTTGTAACTTCGATAGATGTGGTTAGTGAGGACAATCTGCTTGCGGGTAGCTAGGACTTTAGGTGCGTGATAGTTGGGTTTGATCCATCTAATGTTTGGGATAGGTGACATACATATAATCAACTAATTCAAATCCAAAAGCTCAGGACAACGTGCACATAATGCGCATAAAGTCCAAACAAAGTCATAAAAATGAAGGTTTTAAAAGCTTAAACTCCAAATTTAAGCTTAGTGCTGTATTAGTTTTTAGCAACAATTATTAATAAATTTAATATGAAATTTATATATACAAAGAAGCAACTTGGATCTTTATATATATATATATAT